AAAACTTCTCTCCCCAATCAGAGCCACTCTTTGCCCACATTCATGGTAAGTCGGAAGAGCCAGGAAATTAATGTATTCTCAGAACACCACTTTTCCAGAAACAGAACTATTGGGTCCAACACGCTTCTAATTTTAATTCATATTTATTTGGTGAAGATTAAGAAAAAATGTCACAAACAAATATCAGAAGTGGAAAAAGTGAGTACGCATATTTGTGCTAAAATAGTTAGATGCCCTAATTACAACGTGACATTTGGGATGGGTCAGCTAATAATTCAATTAGGACTGCACTCCATCAGACAACACTGTAAGCACTTCAGCTATTATTACCACTGTTCCACATCAAATGTTTGACTAATATACAGATTTTTTTTTAGAAAACAATTTTCATTGAAGAAATTAGTGGCTTGTTCATAAGTATATCAGGTGCTAAACAACTAATTGATTTCATTAGTACTCAGGACTTGGTTAAAATATTTTACAGGCTTTCCTCACCATTACAGACATGGCATGTTAACACTGGTAGTAAACGTATGACATGCCACAGTGGTCATGCAGAACTCTATCAGCAGCGAGCCAAGTCGCCCTGGCCAAAGTTTGACAAATCACCAGCATGCACACAACAGGAAAGACCACATTAACTGTACAAAAGCACACCAAATGCAAGCTTTTACCTTTCAGTAAAATAATCACCAGAAGCTCTCTGATTGTGAATTCATCACAGAAGACCCTGAATTATGGATTGTTTTTTCTAAACCAAAACCTCAGTATTCAGGTTTAACTGAATGGTGGTGGCACTTTGTGATCAATAAGCAGGTTTTGGGTTGCAGTCTAGACACTTGGCATGTAAGAACCTAGTAAGGCCATCAACCTTAGGTATAATTTCATTCCCTAAGCAGAGCTTTTCAAACTTTTGTATACACATAAGTCACATATGAACGGCTGAGATTGTTATGGAAGAATGAAGCTTCTCTGTATTTACAATATTATGGACTCATGGATATGTATTATATTCTTCAGGCTGTAATCCAAAATTACAGGCATTTTGTTGCTCAAGTTATTCTAGTTTGGACCACTGGAAGCTCTTTTAAGTTGGTTCCACCATTTTGTTTTGTTTTGTTTTTAGTACTTCCTTAATTTCTGACTCTGTAAGATCCTGCCAACTCACTCATTCCATATTTTCACTGCGTCAGCCTTAGACTGAGAGTCTGGGTCCTTTCATCAGAGAACAGTATTTAGAAAACAAGATTTGGGCCCTGGACACACTCATTACTGATAGAATAATAATACTTTTAAATTTCTTTCAGCAAATAAAGCTAGTGTGTGTATATACATATAGTCAGTCTCCATATCTGTGGGTCCTCCAGATTATATCAATCATGAATGAAAAATGTTTTAAAAGAAGATAATCAAAAATGTAAAAAAAAATGTACCTGTACTGAACAGATATAAACTTTTGTACTTTTTTTCTTATAATTGCTTCCTAAACAATACAGTATAACAACTATTTACATAGCATTGACATTGTACTAGGTACTATAGTAAGTAATCTAGAGATGATTTAAAGCACGCAGGAAAGACCAAGCATGGTCACATATGCCTCTAATCCCAGAACCTGGGAGGCAGAGGCAGGAGGATTGCTGCAGGCTGGCCTGGACTACAAAGTGAGTAATTACTGCATTACTACATAATAAAATCCTGTCTCAAAAACTAAAAAAAAGTATGCAGAAAAATTTCCTAATTTATATGTCAACACTATGCCATTTTATGCCAGGGACTTGAGTACTCTTATACTTTGGCAGCTAAGGAGATATCTTGGAAATAATCCCCTGGATATTCACTGACCCATCCCTGACTGCAGTTATCACACCGATTTGTAGTACAATCAGGTTCATTTGTCACAGTTGGCCTTCTCTCCTGGATGTCCTGATATCCTGGTCATAAAGGTGTAACAACTGAACATTTACATAACCACCACAGAGTCATCATACAAAATAATCCCATTACCCTAAATACCCCTCTGTGTCTACTGTCCCCTTCTTGTCACATTTTCCTAATTTTTTACATTGGACAGGTTTACAGTAGTGGTAAAAACAAAGAACACAAAAATATAAATTTCTGAAAGTGAATACAGAATCTGGAAAATACCTAGAAAGAATAACTAAATTACAGATAAGTAGTAGGATCATCTACGATTTTGACTTTTTTCTTTATATTTTCAGTGGGCTTTACAATTGTACAATGAGGATATTTCACTGTGTAATCAGATTAATTCTTTCAAGAAGGCAGTAATGAATATAATACATTTTTAGGAAGGTTTCTGTGATTTGATTTTTAAGGGCTGACTGGCAAGAAGCATTTGCGACACGTACAAAAAAGATCTCATTATTTTTAACAGTTAACCAGAAAAGGTCAATCTACAAAAAAAGAAAGGGCAAAATTTATGAAAAAAAAAAAGGTTCACAGAAAAAGAATTATAAATGGTTAATAGACAAATAAATTGATGTTCAACCTCCCTCATAATTAAATAAATACATAAACAATGATTAAATACCATTTATACTTACCTAACTTTGATAAAGGAGATCTCCTGAGATATATATATATATGAAAATGTAAAATAGAAATTCTAAATCTACTGGAAGAGAAAGTAGGAAAAAATCTTGAAGACACAGGGGTAGGCAGAGAGCTCATGAACAAAAACCAAACCACATAGGAAACACTTCAAAGGATCAACAACTGGGATCTCATTTTATTAGAAAGGTCTTGCACATCAAAAGAAATCACCAACAGAAGCCAGGCATGGTGGCTCATGCCTGTAATCCCAGCACTCAGGAGGCTGAAGAAGGTGGATCATTGGGAGTTTGAGACCAGCCTGGGCTACATACAAAGTGAGTTCAAGGCCAGCCTGAACTGCATAGAGACCCTGTCTCAAAAAGACAAAAAAAAAAAGAAAAAAGAAAAAAAGAAATCACCAACAGAGTGAAAAGACAACCCACAGACTGGGAAAAAATTTTGGCCACCTGTCCCTCAAACAAAGGACTTCTATATAGAACATATAAAGAATTGAAAAACATCAGATCCTCTAAATTCAAAGACCCAATCCAAAAATGGGCAGCTGAGATAAATATGCACTTCTCAGATAAAGAACATAAATGGCAAATAAATGAAAAAATGTTCAACATCATTGGTCAAGCAAGAGATGCAAATTAAAGCAACATTCAGATTCCATCTCATCCTAGTAAGAACAGCTATCATCCAGAAATCAACCAATAGCAAATCCTGGAGGAGTTTTCGGTAAAAAGGAACCCTTCTCCACTGTTGGCGGGAATGCAGACTGCTGTGGAAATCAGAGTGGAGATTGCTCAGAAGACTAAGATTAGAGGTCTCATTCATCCCAGGTATTCCACTTTTGAGTATTTTCCTAGATATATCACTACACAGAGATATATGTGCACTCATGTTTATAGCAGCACAGCTTGTAATAATTAAATCTTGGCAACAACCCAAATGTCCATTAATTGAGAAATGGATAAAAAAATGTGGTATTTTTACACAATGAAGTACTACTCAGCTATAAAGGATAAACTTGAGACATTTATAAAGAAATGGATGCAACTTGAGACCATACTCGTAAGTGAAATAACACAGACTCGTCAGTGAAATAACTCAATATTGTAAACACCCATATTGTCTCCCTAGCGTAAGAAGCTGAAAAAGTAAATAGGATTCAAAATGCACAATAGATATTGTGAAGTGGAAGGAAGCTGTTCAAAAGGAAAGAGAAACTTGCATAGGAGAAAGGAGAAAAGAAGAAATGTAAAAGGAAAATGAATCTATATCTATATCTGTATATAGTTAAGATAGTTATACTACTAATTGACATTAGTTCATTGAAAAGTGTGTGCCTATATTGTTTGATCAATTTTTCATGCCTATAACTTGTAACAGGAGCAATTACTTTGAAAATAACAATATATTGTTACTCTCCTACAATCTTACTTTGAAATTTTGTACCATTGTTTTTTTTCTTTAAAATAAAAACAATAATAATCACGTTGTACTCCTATTTGAACTATTTTAGGAATTTTTCATTTAAATTATAAAAACATAAATAAATTTTTGGAAACATACATAAGAAATTGCTAACAGTGGCTATCTCCCTGGAAGACTTTTTAAGTGATTTTGGTTGGAACAGTCACTTGCTATTCACTGTATGTACTATGTAGCATCTGAAAAGTTCATCATGAAAATATATTACTTAAACAATAATTTAAAAATTTTAGTTCATTAATGTAATATTTTTTGACCTGCATTATCTAGAAATTCAGTTACACTGATTTAAGCATTCTCCAATATTACCAAAATTTAAGCTGGAGGTATAGCTCGGTAGCAGAGCACCTGCCTGGCAAGTGTTAAAGTCACGAGTTCAATTCCCAGTACCCTCCCCCAAAAAAAGAATTTTGAGAAACTCATAACTAAATGTTTTAAATGAAATAATCCTAAAACAGCTTGGTTTGGGGACACATGCCTATAATTTAGGAGACTGAGTCAGAAGGATCCCAGGTTTGAGCCCAGCTTGGCCAACATAGCAACTTAATGAGAACTCATCTCAAAATAAAAAATAAAATCAGTAATTGGGGATCTCACTGGGAAGGCCTTGGGTTCAATCCACATAATTGCAACAAACAGTGTAGATCTATATTTTATTATCACGAATCTATAATAAACATAATAAAAAATAAAGTCTTTTGTAAGAAAAAAGACTAAATTTTTCTTCTAAAGCCTACTTGAAAAAAGCCTAGTGAACAATGACATGGAAATTATTTAGTATACCCATTACATTATTATATTATATATTATATTTATTATAGTTGCTAAAGAGGAGGTTTTTCGGAGGTAAGTTAACATGTATTAAACATGAAGTTTAAATTTTCCCTCCAAAACCACGTGAAACAAGTATCAAAAGAAACTGTGGCAAATCTTTTCTTATTACTTACATTTTCTTGGTACTGCATATTCTTATAAGTCAGAAATCCCTCCTTCCCAAATTACAGCTTGGCTGAACATCGGGTAACTGTGAATGATAAAGATGCTGCTTATCTTAAAAATGATTTTCTGCCTAGTAGAAAGGTTTAATTTTCTATATATATTCATCTCTGCTACTGAGGTTAAAAAATTATTTTCATACATTACTCAGTTTTATTTTCTTTTACCTGCTATCAGCTTCTCTGAATCAGGTAGATGTGTGAAGTGTCTTTTGTATTCCTCATTCTTGTCTTTATAGGTACAACTTGAAATCTGTAACATTAAAAAAATTAAATTTGTTTAATTATAATATCTTAGAAAATAAAATGGAACTGAAGGGCCTATGATTTGTATACAATATTCTGTATGTCCTTACAGAATACCACATAAATATTTCAAAAACCACCAAAAAAGAAAAAGTTAGAAAATCTCTCCAAAAGCAGATGGGTATCTGGCAAAACAAACAAACAAAAAAACAAACATGTTGAAAACAATCATCTGAAGTAACTGAAAGTTGGGGACAGATCCACACCCTCATGGGCCAGATGGATCCATGTTCCCCACGCACTGGCCTGGACTGACTCCACATCCATGGATTCCACACCTGGCCATGGTCACCCAGCAACTCTTTAGCTAGATCTGTATTTTGTTTCCTCTGGCACAGGGCAGCAAAGGTACTGACCAGTGGACTGACCTGATAGTAGAAGAGGCCAATACTCAGGGAGGGAAGGTAAGCCTAGACCTGTCCAGCAGCACTACCCCAAGAAAAGCCATTGGCCACTGTACACTATGAAAACAGTGTGGGGTTTTATTCTGAAAGTTGCTCCACGACAGGTTACAGTTGGAGAAAAAAACCAATACAGTACTCGCCATGTTGCCAGGGTTTAATCAGATACCATATTAGGAAGAGATTTATTGTTTAAGACTGAGCCACAGAACAAGTACAGATAAAACCCACTTCAGAATTTCCAGTGTTATCTACAACAGACAGTGAGTTAGAGACAGCCACAGGCTAGACAAATATTCGTTGGGAAGTTTAAGCTCAAGCCTGGAAGGCCACTGGCCCCTGAGAAACCAGACCTGGCAAGGGTGGCTTTCCGAGATGACTGGATCTGAAGGTGTTGCCATTAAGTCCAGCAGTCATCTGAAGCCCCACCCTGCTGTCTCCATCCAACAGAGACCAGTTGTTTGACTGCTTTCTTCATACAGCAACGTGAGCAGAGACACGTCTCACCTTGGACAGTTGCCAGTCTGGGATGTACAGCATCTCACTGGAGCAGAGGGGCAACCTGCAAACACCCAGAGGCCCTAAAGCTATACAAAGAAACTGTGACTTGCTGAATTTCAAAACTGCAGATGGTTAAAAGATATCCTCATTCAAAAGTACAGAAAAATTTTGGGGAAGTATGGGACTCAAAAGATTTGGTTTATTTCCTTCATTGGTTTGGGGGGATTTGGGAGCAAAATTTTTCTTTTCTTCTTTTAACTTTTTCCTTGTTTTGTGTTCTCTCTCTCTCTCTCTCTCTCTCTCTCTCTCTCTCTCTCTCTCTCCCTCTCTCTCTCTCTCTCTCTCTGAGTTTTTTTTTAATTGTTTGTTTTCCATTTTGCTTTTGTTTTTTTGTACCAAGGACTGAACCCATGATCTTGTGCTTGTAGAGGCAGGTGCCAGCCCATTTGTTTTTGTTTGGGAGACAAGGTCTGTGTAGTTCCAGGCTGACCTTGAATTCATGGTGGTGGTGGATGGGGGGGACCTCCTGCCTCAGCACCTGGAGCACACTGCTTACAGGTGTGCACCACCAGCTCCTTTTTTCATTTTCTCATTTTTTTTTGTTTTTCTTTATACTCTTCTTCTTTTTGGTTACTTTTATCTGATACTGTGAATTCTGTTTACTCCTCAGTTGGATGTTTATCTCACTTCTCTCTCCTCATTTTCCATGTATTAATTTTTTTAAATTTGACTTTTGTGATTCTTCAATTCTCTATCCTCTCCATCTTTACTAGAATAACTATTACACTTTATAACTCTGTGGTCAGTAAATTTTGCTATTACTGTTGAATACTGTTCTACTGCTATTACTGTTCTACTGCCATTACTGTTGAAAATTGTTCTCTGTTAGCGAAGGTGCACTTAGTAGATATTACTGTACGTCAATATTTGGTATCTTAGTGTTTACACTACAATTATAGGTCTTTTTTCCATGATTAAAAGTGGTACATGATTGGTTTTTTGTTATGTCAATAGAGTTTGTCTTTGATGTCAGTATTGCTGTTGATTTTATTGCTACCACCAAGGTGATATTATAGCTACTAATTGTTTTTTCTCTTTACACCAATATCTGTATTGCCTTTGTGGAGAACAGGGTGCTTGGGCAGTTACACTGCAGCCTCCCTTGTCAAATAAATGGAGATGGTTAGATCTTGGTACAGGGGAAAGGCCCATAGTTAACCATGCCAAGAGTGTATCACTGAGAAGCAGAACTACTACCAAGGTCTTCATACTACAAAGCCTTCCATTGTACTCAGCCTGCAAATATCAGCACAAAAATTTTTTTAAAATCAAAAGTAAAACCAACAGAATGCCTCCCCCAACTTCCCTAAAGCTGATCAATCCATGGAACATCAAAGGGAAAGAAATCAAAAGTACATAGCTTAATTACTCAAAAGAATAACAGGAAATTATTTTAAAGTGTGATCAGTTAAGGTCATGTCACAATTTGTGTCTAAACATCTCCCCGAAGCCTCTTGCAGTCACAGGTGGGGCTTTTCAGAGGTGGCTGGATCCAGAGTGTGTGATGCTGGGATTAAGGGTGTGTGATTACTAACGTAGTCCACTGACTGGTTTGGCATAGTTCTGGGGTGTGAGGGTGGGCAGCCTAGATAGAACAGAAAGGGACAGGAGCTGCTACTGTCACCTGTGGCCTGCTATTTCAGCTTCTGTTGCTGCTGCTTGTCTTCTGCTGTTTCCTGCCCACTCTGCAATGCCACCCTGCCTTGGAGTCACCCAATTACAGGCTAAAATTTCTACACATTGTGCGCTAAAATAAACTCTTTTTCCTTTATCGTTGAGGTTGGGTATTTTATCCCAGCAACAAGAAAAGGAACCAAGACTTGTGCTCAGCAACCTCAAGGAAGATATAACTAAAAGGTAATGAACCTAATAAAACAAGCTGTGAGTTTATAGAAGACAGTAATAAAAAGCTAGCTGAACCAAGCAATACAAAACATGAATCACTAATTTGGCAAAGAATTAGAGTTTATTAAAAGGTAGCTAACAAATTTAGGATATTAAAATTTCTACTGAAAGCATGGAGAGTATAATCAACCAACGTGAGGATGAAGGGTAAGAACTACAAGATAGGACTGATGTCAGTGATCAGTTACTCAGAGATACCTTAAAAACAATAAGAAAACATTAAAAAGAGATCCAAAAGCTGAATTAGAGAAAAATCAGAAGAAAGCATGAATAACCCCAAAAAACCTCTTTACAGAAATAATAGTACACCTATAATTCCAGCACCTGGGAGTCTGAAGATTCCCTTGAGTTCAAGGCCAGCCTGAACTACACAGTGAGACCCTGTCTCAAAAAGTAATAATAATAGCAGAACACTTCTCAAATATGAGGAAATAATTTAACATACAGCTAAATGAGGCATATGGAACCCCAAGTAGCCACAATCAGAAAAGAATCTCCACAACACATAACAGTCAAAATTCAGAAATCCAACACAAGCACAGAATCTTAAAAGCAGTGAATCCGTTATAAAGGTAAACTGACTAGAGCTACAGCAGATTTCTCAACACAAATCTTAAAGGCCAGGAGAGCTTAAAATGAAATATTTCAAACACTTAAAGAAAACAGCTTCCAACCCAAACTGATATACCCTGCAAAACTGTTTCAAAATTGATGTAGAAATAAGGTCTTCTTTGATAAAAAGCACCTTAAGAAATTCATGACCACTAAAGCAGTGCTCTAAAAAACTCTCAAGAAACTCCTAGAAAGACACCCAAACTGCCACAAGTGCTAATAGAATAAATATACCAGGAAGGTAAGCTGTTAAGGAGAAAGGGATAAAGGGAGACAGCAAAAAGAAAATAATGAAATGACAGAAATAAAGTAAACACCTTTCAATAATAACTTTCAATGTGAATAGACTTAATTCCCAATTTAAAAGACAGATTGGCAGAATGCATCAAGAAACAAAATTCAACAGCATGTAAATACAAGAAACACATTTGACCCCCCAAAGCAATGGTTAAACTAAAAAATCAAAAGGAAGGAAAGCAAAATTCCATGCAATAGGAACTTGAAAACGAGCAGCAATAGCTATTCTATTTTCATACAAAGTGGACTTTAAGCCAAAATTGATCAGAAAAGATAAAGAAAGTCACTACATACTGGCTAAGGGGACAATCCAACAGGAAGAGATAACAATTATAAACATATACGTACCAAATACCAGTGCAATGAACTTCATAAAACATAAAAGATCAGATATAAACATGGACATAAAAGATCAGATAAACAGCAACACTACTATAATGGGGGACCTCAATCCCCCACTGTTACACTGACCAGATCAACTAGACAAAAAAAAATCAGTTGAAATACACCTTATGACAAGATATACTACTAGGTTAAAAGATTTCACAATGATAAGGTTAATATTTGAGGAAGGAAAAAATTACAAATATATGCACTACTAGCTTTAGAATCCCAAACTACATGAAGCAAACACTGACAAAACTGAAGAAACTGACTATAAGTGGGAGATATAAATTTCCCATTCTCAATAATTTTCAAAATATTAAACAAAATCAGCAAAAATACATGTCACTTATATATTATCTACCTACTTCAATTAACTGGTTCTGCTGTTGCTTAAATAAATGCCTTCTCAAAGTTCAAAAAGCTAGGCCCAGAGTGGTGATCTTAGAAAGTATTGGGAACTCTTTCCTTTCTGGCTCAACATGCAATTACTTGCCTCTACATATGTTTCTACCACTGCCATCTGCTGCCTTAACCAGAGGCCAACTCAGTGGGGCCACTCAATCTTGAATTTGAATCTTCAAAACTGAGTCAAACTGGAGCTGGAGGTTTAGCTCAGCGGCATAAGCACCTGCTTTGCAAGCAGGCAGTCGTGAGTTCAACCCCTGGTACCGATAAAAAAGGAAAAAGACAAAAAAAAAAAAAAAAAAAAAAAAAAAACTGAGTCAAACTTTTCTCTTTATAAAGTTAGCTGCCTCAAGTATTTAGTGTAGTAATATAAAGCTGACTAGTACATACTCCATTCAACAACTGCAAAGCCACATTGTTCTTAACAGCATGGAATATTCTCTAGAAAAGATAATTTCCTAGGCCACAAGACAAGTTTCAACGTGAAAGGAATGAACCACATAAAGTATTTTCTCTATTATTAACGGACTCTAACATACAACCAACCAACACAAGTACTAGACCAACAACACAAGTACTAGAGTCCAGCTTCAAATCATCTTTATCTTTACTCATGGAATATGGAAACACCAGATTTCTTCACAGTTGTATGAAAATCCTCTCTGGAATAAGCCATCATTCTAAGATTTGACGCTTTTAAAGGAAATGATGGAGAACAGAAACAAAGCGTAACAGACTAAATAAACAGTGAAGAGGTCTGGTATACATGTAGCTGAAGTCCAAGAACAGAGTGAGGTAGATAAAAATATTTGAAACAATAAAAATAATTTCTTAAAACATATTAAGTTTTTATTAGTGGAGATAGTTTCCTCTCCTCTTATAGTTTTCCAAAAGCTAGCTGGTTGGTTGGTCAGTCGGTTGGTTGGTTGGTTGGTTGGTTGGTTGGTTGGATGGTTGTTTTCTTGAGATAGGGTCTTGATATGTAGTTCAAACTATCCTTAAACTTACTATGTAGCCCAGGCTGTCTACAAATATACAGCAATCTTCCTGCCCCAGCCTGAGTGCAAGAATTACAGGCATGTGCCACTATCTCAGACCTAAAATCATTTTCAAAAATAATCTTGGTTTAAGTGACTCTCACATGTTGTACCTATTTAGACATGTAAATACAATAAAATTCAATATACCATTTAAAATCCTAACAACTGACATCTAATAAAAAGTGACATGGGACATCTCAATGATTCACTATCACCCTACAGCCTCAAAAATAGACATTTCAAATAAGTGTTTGTAGTGAGTTGCATTTTAAAAAAGTAAAAAGGAGCAAATTAAACTGGTATATCAGTTAAAACAGACAAAATTATACCACAGCAATAAGCCAAAATTTCAGTGCCTAATGGTTTATTTCTCATACATATTGTGTCCACATTGGGCTTACTGAAGAATTAACTCCCAAATATCACACAGTATGCCAACAAAGATTTCACCATCTGGAGGCAAGAACATACAAAACAGTATACCAAATCTTAAAGGATTTTACTAGAAAATGACACACACTATTTTGTTCATATTTCACTGACAAAAAAATAGTCACTAAACTTATTTTGGGAGCACAGGAAAACACACATCTATCATGGTCCAGAATACAAAAAGACACAAAAATTTTGATGAATATAGTTGTTACTTGAATTTATGGAATGAGATGAATCTGGACTTTTCCTGTCCCCACTCAGATAATGAAACTGTCCAGTGTTTTTCCCCAAAGCAATACCTTTTAGTTCCTCTGGTTTAAGAAACATTCACTCAGAGTTTCATACCAACAAGGCAATTGTTTTTTAAAAGCAAACTGTAATTCACATTTCACCCTTTTGCAATGTGCAACTGAGTGCTTTTAGTACACTTATAAAGCTATGCAATCATCGCTACTAATTCCAGAAACATTTATTGTGTCAGAAAGTCAATATCCATAAGCAGACATTTTCTACTTCCCCACTACATCGTAGGCTTAAAAATCATTAATCTGTCTCTATAGATTTCTCTATACCACATTTTTACCTATGTATTCATTTGATTAACATTTGGATTATTTCTACTCTTGCTTATTATAAATAATTGTGCTATAAATACTTATGTAAAATTTTTGTGCAAACATTTAAATTCTCTTGGGTATATATCTAACAGCAGAACTGCTAGTTCATATGGTAATTTTATGTTTAACATTTTGAGGAACTGCTAAACTATTTTCCAAAGTGGATGTACTATTTTACATTCTCATTATCAGTCTATGACAGTTCCAATTTCTCCACCTCCTCAATAATTAACTTCTATCTTTATTAGCATAGCCATCTTGAAATGGCATCCTATGGTAGGTTTCTATATGCCTATTGGCCATTCGTGTATCTTTAAAGAAATGTTCTTTCAAATTGTGCCCACTTTTAATTAAGTTGCCTTTTTATTATTGAGTTGTAATAGTTTCCCCCCCCCCTTTGGTACTGTGGATCGAACTCACAACCTCACACTTGCCAGCCAAGTGCTTGTGCTGCTGAGCTAAATTCCCAGCCCCAGTAGCTCTTTACCTAGCACAACTCTCTTATCAAATAGATGTGTTTTGCAGATATAGTATATGCTCATATTTTATGAGCTACTTTTTCTCACTTTCTTAATGGTCTTCTTAAAGCATAGCCATTTCTAATTTCAATGAAATTCAATTTATTTTTTCTTTTGCCCCTTGAAATATTGATATCATATGTAAGAAACTAGTATCTAATCCAAAAATCATAGATTTATGCTTAAACTTTCCTCTCAGAGTTTTACAGTTTTCATTCTTCATTTAGCTCTACAATATGTGTTAATTTTTGTATTTGTGTGAAGCAGGGATCCAGATTCACTCTTTTACATGTATATATCACTGTTTCAACATGATTTGATGAGGAGAAAAAAACTATTCTTTCCTCCACTAGGTTGCTTTAGCACCCTTTTTTAAAGTCAATGGATCATAAATTTAAAGGTATATTTCCAGACTTTCAATTCTATTCCATGCCAATTTAATCTTGTGCTAATGCAAACCACACTGATTACTACAGCTCTGTAATAAGCTTTGAAATTGGAAACTGTGTGCATCTTCTAACTTTATTTTTTTCAATATTACCTTAGCAATTGTAGGTCCGTAGTGCTGTCATATGAATTTAGGCTCAGCTTGTCAATTTCTAGAAAAAAGCAAATTTGAATTTATAGGAAGATTTTTTGAATCAGTACATAAAGATGATATGACCTTCTTTACAACATTAAATCTATTGATCTACAAAATAAAGGTGTGTGTGTGTGTGTGTGTACATGTGTGCTAAGCCTGAACTTAAGGCTTCTGCACAGAAGTACATCTTTAGTCCTTTATTTTTTTCTTATTTTTTTAGGAAATTAACAATGGCTATTATTTTGTATATTGTCTTCAAAATAGTTGCTCAGATTACCAGACATAGGTATGCAAAATTGATCAAATAATACAAGCATTAACTGTTCTTTTCAGTGAACCAATACAGTAAATAATACAGGTTCTCTTTAAGTTGTTCAGCTGCCCAGGCTGGGCTCAAACTTGTAATTTTCCTGCTTCAGCCTCAAAAACTGCCAGAATTAAATGGGATGTGCCACCACATCCAGCATAAGCTTACACCTTTAACAAAATCTCCTTCAATGTAGATTTGTAATTTTCAGTATATGCAGTCCCCTTTACCTGCAGTTGTTTCCATGATTTGTTACCTATAATTAACTGGGTCTGAAAATAATAAATGAAACGTCAGAAATAAGTAATTCACAAGTTTTAAAACCTATAGTATAGTACACTGGTATAATTTTTATTAGCTATCAATTTTTATTGTGCCTAATTTTTAAATTAAACTTTATCATAGATATGTAAGTATAGGAAAAAACATGATATATACAGCATGTGTTACTATCTCCACCTTCAGGAATTCATTCAGGATGTTGGAACCTATCTTCTGACAATAAGGGAACTTCTGTACAAATATTATACAACTTTTGTTAAATTCATTCCTATTTTTATTATTCTGCTATTACTACTAATAGAATTTATTATAATTATTCACAAATATTAATTCATTAATCGTATAAATTAATGGGCTTCTCTGTGACATTTCTGTACATGAATATATCATGCATTGATCATTTCTACCCTCCTTAATTTCAGTAAAAGTTGTTCAGTGTTAGTATATAAAATTACAACTAATCTTGGTTTTAGAATCAGGGTAATACTGGCCGCCTGTTCTGCTTTTTTGGAAGGTATTAGAGATCTGTGTAAATTCTACATTTGACAGAATACTCCAGTGAATCCATCTGTCCTAAGTTGTTCTTCAAAAACTTTACAGTTGTTGTTTTGATTTTGTTGTTTTAAGCCTTTCTTTGTTATTATTTGAGGCTCTCTACCCCAACTCAATCTTTTCATTTTAGAACACAGTCGCATTATGTAGTTCAGGTTGGCCTTGAACTCACAGTGATCCTCCTACCTCAGTCTCCCAAGTGCTGGGATTATAGGCATGTATCTTATGGGTTAGGGGTGCGGGTATATGTATCTATGCCCAACTGTCTCCCTAACTGATTCTCTTTCCTTGTCATGGGTGAAATTTGTCTAGTTCATCTATGTTCTTTAAGATATTTAAAATGCATGAAGTTAGCAAAATTTTTAAACTCAATACTATCAATTATCTTGGAACATACAACATTAGTTCTATGCTCAGTTGTGTCTCAACAAATTTAAAAGAATTAAAATCATACAGTATATGTTTCCTGTTCACAATAGCATCACACTAAAAATCAAAAATAAAAGGAGTATTAAATGTCCACAGTGATACACTTGGAAACTAAATGATACACTTCTACGTAATCCATGGGTAAAAGGGAAAGAGTTGTGAGAAAACACACACACACACACACACACACACACACACGCACGTACACCAAACTCAAGATAATGAAAATACAGTATATCCGATTTGTGGAATACATCTAACACTGAGAGAGAAATTTATAAGACTAAATGCTCACATTAGAAAAAAAATCAGGGTGGGGGAAGTCTGAATAAAAATCTAAGTGTCCAGCTTAAGAATTTAAAAGAAGAATAAAATAAAACTCAAAAACGTCCAAAATTGCATAAATAATAAAGAGCAGAAATCAGTGGAAACATAAAATAAAAACATAAATAAGAAAATGAAACTGCTTTTGTTTTAAAAAAAAATAATCACTATAATTGAAAACCTCTATCAAGACTGACAGAGAAAAATGCAAACTACAGTATTAGGGAAAAAACACAAGAACAGCATAGATCTTATAGACCTTAAAAGGAAATACTAGATCATTCCAGGAGAACATGGCAGACAGATAACAGCAGCCATGGAGGCTCTCTGAGATTGCCAGCTTAGAATCCAGGAATAACAGAATAGCAGAAAAACAGATGGTGGAATGGAAGAATAGAAAAAAAGGGGAGAATTGTTTGATGCAGAAAATAGAGAAAACATACAGTGAAGCAGGTTCAAAGAGATTACCAGGAAACTAAAAACTCTATCGAAAGCAGGCATAACAGCTTGAAAGAAACTAAGGAGAGGTCATCTGAACTGGAAGGCAGATTTGTAATGTGGGAGCATGAAATAAAAAACTTCTTAAAAATAACAAGAAAACAAACAGCAATAATACAAAGGCTACAAGATGATAAGAGGATTTATAACTTAAGAATTAAGAACATAAAAAATTAAAATTAAAATAAAAAAGAATTAAGAACATAAAAGAAAAAGTAGGGACACAAATAAATGAACTACAAAAGCTATTCAGAGAAATAATCCAGGAGAATTTCCCTAATTCAGCAAAAGGTAAAGATACTCAGATGTATGAGGCATACAGGACTCTAGCCACCTACAACCCAAACAGAGCTACACCCAGGCATATAATGATCAAAATTACAGAAATACAATATAAGAACAGAATATTAAAAGCTGTCAGAGACAAGAAACAGATTACTTACAAGGGAACACCCATCAGAATTACAGCAGACTTCTCAGCACAAACCATCAAATCATGAAGGGCGTGGGGGGAAATAATTCAAGCTTTGAAAGATAATAATCTCCAGCCAAGATTGAGATATCCTGCACAACTGTCCCTAGAAATTGATGGAAATACAAGGTGCTTCCAGGATAAAAAGGAACTAGGGGAATTTGCAACCACCAATTCAACTCTACAGAGAATATTGCAGGATATTCTAAAAAAGAAAAATACCAAGATTCCAGAAACAGTGGCAGAGAGGCCACAATGAATGAGCAGAAAGTGAAATGAAGAAGACAAACTGCCAACTAATGACAGAAAAAGAGCTCAACAGAAATGAGGCAGAGAAAGTTGGATGGTAGGAACAGCTTTTGGAGAAAACAAGACATCATAATAGGTAGTGCTGATTTAATTCATCTTGTTTTGAAGTCCCATCAAGCTTTTGTTCTTCTGTCTCCATTGATCTTAACATGTTGTATCTTATTGGATTTTATTATATGTGATAATATAAACAAAAACTTTTATAGACAAGGAGATTATACAGAAACCATCGTTCATTTTCTGTTAGTTGATTCTAAATACCCTATAATATTGTCATTCTCTTGAATGGTTTTACATTGTCTTGATATGTTTGATGCTACAGTATATGAAGTTATATTCAAAGATTTCAAGGAAAGAGACACTACGGTAACTACTTTTATGTCAGGATTATCTTGTGGTAAAACACTATTTTGCTTAAATGGTTATGTTTTGACCTGCACTGTTTAGTTGTTATGCCCTCTCTTATCTCAATCTCCTTTTTTTATTATTTACTTTTTCATTTTTATCATTTTAATTAAGGGAAAAATAAATTAAAAATAGCAGGATATAGTAACCCACTTTGATTTCCTATTAACTTGATTTGAAACCCTGTATTGCTCTCACCATCTTGTTTTGACTGATTTTCCTCTATTCTATTTTGCTTGATAGTACCAAGTTCGAAAGTAGGCAACAACTATGAAGACAATAAGATTCATTATGACGCCCATTCTGGTTGACTATTATCTTCTTTTGAAGTCCCGTAATATCTCCAATGTTTTGGCTTTATTCTTTACTGTTTTGTTCAATTTTATTATAACTGATGATATAGGCAAGTCTTTTTAAGATAGCAAGAGGCATTATGGTAACCATTGTTGATCACTTTGTATTTTGTTTTTATGTTATGTACTATGTCCACCCTTTTGATTTGACTGACTCTGTCCTAGTATGTCACATTTGGTTTTACTGTCTTCAAAAAAAAGTAATAAGAACAGTGGGAACAATAAAACCCAAAATGTGTAAATGTCATTGTACAAAAGAGAGGAAAAGAAAGTGCTCTAAAGGACATAACTGCATGTATAATTAAGTGTATAAGATAGGTAACCATATTACTGAGTTTTATTGGATCACTGAACAGAACTGTTTGCAGTCTCACTGTTTGAATATCTAGTCTATATGCTTTAATTTTGTAACTTGAACAACTATTTCTAAGATGACAATATGTAATCTATTAACTAGTGATTTCCTACTGTTTATTTTTTCTGAAATTCTGTATAACTTGTACCCTTTTTCTGTTTTTTCTTTTTTTCTCCTTAAATAAAATTTTTTTAAAAAGGAAATACTATATCCATATACATATGACAATTTAGAAGAAATGGACTGATACTTCAAAAAATACAAACTACCAGAACTCATTCAACATGAAATACAGTAGTTAATTTAAACAGACCCACAATAAATTGATTCACAAATTAAAATTTTCAAAGAAAGATATCTCCAGGGCTAGATGTTTCATTGGAGAATTCTATAAAACATTTAAAAATAAACTCTAGTTTTACACAATCTTTTCCAAAATACAGAATAGGAAGGAACATATCTCAAAATTCACTTTACAAGGCAAGTATTATTACCCTTACATCGAAACTAGATAAAAATACTAACAAAAAAAAGAAAATTACTGAAAATATTCCCCATGAAAATAGCTGAAAAAAATCCTTAAGATATTAACAAATGTAACAGAAAAGATTTTGCTACTATACTCTTTAACTTTTACCCTTTCACAGGGGGGAATAATCACTTCTTATAACTTCACTCCTAGAATAATCACCTCTCATAACCTCACTCCTCCTAACCCACACTTATTTTTCAGAATTCTACCTCACTGTGGTAATGATTCTACCTCACTGTGGTCCTGATAAAATGACATCTAAATCAAAGGCACCTTTCCTTCTACCTCACCTGGGTCCTTAGATATGATAGTGACCTGCCTCCTCATAGCACCTTGTCTCTTTATGTCTCCAGTCTAACATGTGGGCATTCACCAGTGATAAAGTTGTACTGGCTAGAACACCTGTCACCAGCTTCTGCATGGACATGAACCATCATCCCATCAACCTTCCTAAACCCCAATATGACACCCCCCCCTTTCAGCAGGAAGTAGTAAAAGCGAGACTTCGCCCTTTTCCTAACAATAAAAAGATGGGAATGAAAGGATTTTGCCCTAGATAGGACATTAGGGCAGTGGGAGGCGGGGCCAAGGGATGTTTACCTTGAGGTCACTTTCCCTGCCCCTATGCAACTTACCTGTGGCCCAAAAAGAGTCCCAATCAGCTACTCGCATATCAGCAATGCCACCTTTAAGCACCACCCCAGTCGAAAACTATATGTGTGCCCCCCACATCACGTTTCCAGCAGAAAAAGCCAGGCCCCGGTGGTCATGGAGTTTCTCTCTGCATTCCTAGAATAAAGGCCATTGTTACTTTATATTCTTTTACTGTGCCAAAAATCCTATCAGTAACTTACCAATATACAAAAAGAATTATACAGCACGAACATTTAGATTTTATTCTAGGAATACCAAGCCAGGTCAATAATCAAAAATCAATATAACTCATAATATTAACATGCTAAAAAAATTACATGATAATATTTGATACAGAAGTAATATTTGACAGAATTCAATGTCCATTTGTATTTTAAAATAAACTACCAGCAAAACAGAATGTAGGGAACTTCCTCAACTTGATAAAAAACATCTACAAATTACCTGCAGTTTAAAAACATCTTAATGGGGCCAGGGATATAGCTCAGCAGCACAGCACCTGCCTGGCAAGCACAAGGTCACGAGTTCAAATCCCCAGTACACACACACACACACACACACACACACACACACACACATCTTAATCATGAAGGACTTATTCTACCAAAAGTTAAGGAAATAGCCCAGAGTGTTTATTTCCAATGCTGCTGGAAGTTCTTGCCAGTACATTAGGGGGGGAAAAAAGTTAGGTGAGGCATATGCTGTGCATAGTGGGGTGCACATATATAATCCCAGCTACTGAGGAGGTCAAGGTGGGAAAGTCACAAGTTCAAGGCCAGACTGGACAACATATCAAGACCCAGTCTTGGAACAACAAAAAGGCACACAGATCAGAAGAAAAAGAAAAACATTCCTGTTTACATACAGCATCACTGCTACTTTTCCAAGCAATTAAAAAAAAACTAGAACCAATAAGTGATTTCAGCAAGGTTGCAGGATACAAGATAAACAAATAGAAGAAACTACATTTCTATATTGTGCTGTTTCACACTTTTTGTCCTTCTCAGTGATACAATCTCAATAATTTCCAATATATATCTTTCATTTTACTAACTTCTCTTTAACTATCATTTTCCATGTTCACTCCACATTTTAATTATTATCCCATCTGCCATCAATTTTTATTTATAGAAGTTGAAGCTGTATTTGATTGCTTTTCAAATCCACTCATTGTTTGGGAATTTGTTTTCTTCTGTTGTCATTGTTGTTTGGGGTTTTTTCCGTTTTTTGGCAGTACTAGTAATTGAATGTCAGGCCTTCACTCTGAACTACAGTCCAAGACATTTTTAAATATGTTATTTTGAGACAGGTTCACAAGCTGCTAAATTGCCCAGGTGGGGCTCTAATTTGTAATCATCCTGCCTCAGCTTCCCAGAGTGCGAGGATTACAGGCATGGGCACTATGTCTGGCTCCATTAATCATATTTTTAATTCTGTTCTCTTTAATTACATATGATTTATATTTTTACTTAATAGCTTTATTATCCAAAGTTCTACAGGTTCTAATATGCTATTGAATTTCTTTCTGCTCACTCAAACCCCAAAACTTGATGAACAATGAACTATGTAAATTATGTATGTATGTACGCTCAGAAAAATTTTTTTAATTTTATTTAAGGAGGAAAAAAAAGCAGAGAAAGGGTACAAGTTATACAGGTTTACAGAAAAAAAATAAACAGTAGGAAATCACTAGTTAATGGATTACATATTGTCATCTTAGAAATAATTGTTCAAGTCACAAAATTAAAGCTTGTAAAGTGGACATTCCAACAATGATACTGCAAACAGTTCTGTTCAATGATCTAATAAAACTCTGTGATATCATTTTCTATCTTATACACTTAAATATACATGCAGTTATATAGTTTAGAGCACTTTCTTTTCCTCTCTTTTGTACAATGACTATTACACATTTTGGGTTTCATTGCTCCCACGGTTCTTATTACTTTTTTGGAAGAGAGTAAAACCAAATGTGACATAACAAGAACAGAGTCGGTCAAATCAAAAGGGTGGACATAATAGATAATGTAAAAACATAATACAAGGTGATCAACAATGGTTACCATAATGCCTCCCGCTATCTCTAATAGAATTGCCTATATCATTAGTTATAATAAAATTGAACAAAACAGTAAAGAACAAAACCGACAAAACCAAAACATTGGAGACATTGTAGGTCTTCAAAAGTAGATAAAGGTCAACGAGAATGGGCATCTTAATGAATCTCATTATCTTCACAGCTGTTGCCTAAACTTTCGAACCTGATACTATCCAGCAAAACAGAATAGGGGAACATCAGTCAAAAACAAGATGGTGAGAGTAATACAGGGCTTTAAATCGAGACAATGGAAAGTCAAAGTGGGTTACTATAATATATCCTGCTATTTTTATTTATTTTTCCCTTAATTAAAAGGATAAAAATTAAAAAGTAAATAATGGAGTGGAGATTGAGATAAAAGAGGGCATAACAGCAAAACAGCGCAGATCAAAACATAACCATTTAAGCAGAATAGTGTTTCACCACCAGATAATCCTGACATAATAGTAGTTACCATATTGTCTCTTTCCTTGAAATCCTTGAGTACAACTTCGTATACTGTAGCATTAAATATATCAAAACAATGTAAAACCATTTAAGAGAATGACAGCATTACAGAGTATCTAGAATCGACTAACAGAAAATGAACAATGGTTTCTGTATAATCTCCTTGTCTTTAAAAGGTTTTTGCTTATACTATCGTACATAATAAAATCCAACAAGATACAACCTACTTAGACCAATGGAGACAGAAGAACAAAAGCTTGATGAGACTTCAAAACAAGATGATACTCGATCAGTATTACCTATTAAGGTGTCATTTTCTCCAAAATAGCTGTTCCTATCATCCAATCTTCTCTGCCTCATTTCTGTTGAGCTCTTTTTTTGTCAGTAGCAGGCAGTTTGTCTTCTTCATTTTGTTCTCTGCTCCATTCATTGTGGCCTCCCCGCCACTATTTCTGGATTCTTTGTATTTTTCTTTTTTTAGAATATCCTGCAATACTCTCTGTAGAGTTGAATTGGTGGTTGCAAATTCCCCCAGTTCCTCTTTATCCTGGAAGCACCTTGTTTTTCCATCAATTTCCAGGGACAGTTGTGCAGGATATCTCAATCTTGGCTGGAGATTATTATCTTTCAAAGCTTGAATTATTTCCCCCCATGCTCTTCGTGATTTGATGGTTTGTGCAGAGAAATCTGCTGTAATTCTGATGGGTGTTCCCTTGTAAGTGGTCTGTTTCTTGTCTCTGACAGCTTTTAATATTCTGTTCTTGTATTGAATTTCTGGAATTTTGAATATTATATGCCTGGGTGTCGCTCTGTTTGGGTTGTAGGTAGCTGGGGTCCTGTATGCCTCATACATCTGAGTATCTTTACCTTTTGCTAAATTAGGAAAATTCTCCTGGATTATTTCTGTGAGTAGCTTTTGTAGTTCACTTGTTTGTGTCCCTACTTCTTCTTTTATGTTCTTAATCCTTAAGTTGTGGCTCCTCTTATCATCTTCTTGTCTTTGTATTATTGCTGTTTGTTTCTTTGTTATTTTTAAGAAGTTTTTCATTTCATTCTCCCATATTACAAATCTGCCCTCCAGTTCAGATAGTCTGTCCTTAGTTTCTTTCAAGCTGTTGTGCCAGTTTTCGATAGACTTCTTAGTTTCTTGATAGTCCCTTTGAACCTGCTTCACGTATTCTATGCTTTCTCTGTTTTCTGCATCAAACAATTCTCCCCTCTTTTTCTGTTCTTCCATTCCACCATCTGTTTTTTCTTGGGTGGTGCTTAGCATTTCTCTAACTATTCTGCATACTTCTAGCTTCAGGTCATTGATAACTTCATTCCTGAACTGATCTATGAGGCTCTCTATATGGCACTTTATGTCTATTGGTGCGGTGTCCGCTATTACCTGTTTCTCAGAATTGGGGGCCGAGGAGCCTTTCTTGTTGCTGCCTCTTTCCATATTCTCTGTTCTTTATATATGCAAGCTTACATAGAGGGCTCAGCTTCCCTCCCTGTCAGCCACAGCTTGATCGAATTGCGCCGGTTAGGCGTTCCTGCCCACCGCAGCACACCAGGGAGTCACGGACCAGGCAGCCTACGCGGGCCCGCCCCTCCCGGCCACCGTCAGGCTCTGGGATCTGGGTTGGGCTAGCCTACTGGGTCCGCCAGCAGCGTCACGCAGGCTAGGCACCCCTCACCAATCCCGCCTGAGAGGGGGATGTGTGGCTGAAGTCGCCACCGCGCCCTGCTCCGGCAGTATTGCCTGGGCCCAGAATGACCTCCGCTGGAGTCAAACTGTGGTAGAGTGTCAGTTTCTCTCACTCACCTCACCACAAGCCAGTGCACGCCTCCCTGCCATCCTGTTTTCGACTCCGTTCGCAGACCCCCGTTCTCAGAGCTTCCGCGTGTCTCTCTCCTCGCCGAGCTGACGTAGAGGCAGCTGCCACGCGGCGGGAAACCCAAATCGCGGCTTCCAATGGTGCGGGCTCCAGCCTCCACACTGAGGCTTTTCTGTTCCTGCTTTAGCACCAGGACTGCATTCCAAGTTGGTTTCTCTCAGCCCAGTTCGTTCCTGAGTCAGCAGAGCATATCTCCACCGGCTTATGTCTCCTTACTCCACACCCTTCCTGACTTCTGAGCCGAGTCTTTCAGAGAACCTCCATAGCTGCTGTTATCTGTCTGCCATGTTCTCTCGGAAGCTCGTATTCTCAGAAAAATTAAGTATTATGTATTCTCAGAAAAAAAGTCACTACTCCCCCCGGCATCCCAAGCCCATATTTAGACAAGCTTGCTTGTCTTTAACATGCAGATATATGTGGGTATTATTGTCTTGTTAACATTTCACAGACAGTATAACTCTCAAGAGCCACAGCTCCTAAAGAATTATCAGTTCCAATCCATGTAAGTCCTAGGCATTATCTACCAGCATCTCCTGTGTGGCCAATAAAGTGGAACATCAGCAAACTCCCCAGAGCCACCTCAGCATTAGCTCACTGCTTACAACTCTAATAAAACCAATTCACTCTTCTTTTTCAGTGCTTAGGTATTTCTCTTGCTATTTTGTGATTCCAGACAAAAGTAGATGCTTTTAACAGAAGAGCATTTCAGTTAAAGAGCCTCCTCCTCCTGCAGATGTGTCACTTCTTATTCCTTTACAATTAATCTAAAAAGGTTAAAAGATATCCAAGTTTATCAAGCAGTATCAAATAGCTATACCTAAGACTTTTAAATGTTTTCTTAATTTCAACATACAGTTGAAAAATTACTTTAGTTTTTAAAAACCAAGTATTAAAGTAAAAATCTAAGACAATCCTTATAAACTTTAATAAACTCCAATACAATCATATAGAAAAGAACATAATCATGGGAAAACGCTTCCCAAAAGTCACTGATGTATATTTCAAACACACTAATTAATACTCCTGGGCTTTTTAAAAAACTTAATAGTACAACATTAATTAGTGCTGTAAATAACCTATAAATCAGGTTTGAGGCAAGTCTGTCTTCCACTTATATGTAAAAAAACTTATCTATGAATAACGTGACTATAATCATCCTATAAATCTATCAATGATAAAGTACAAAATCAAGAGTTCTGATTTCTTACATAATTTTTACAGCTTCATTTTGATATAGAAGCTAATCTAAATATTTTCCATTGGGTTTAAGCATATTAATTGTTATTTATATATAGATAATGGTTCAAAAATTTAGTTTTCTTATTCTTAAAATATTTAAATGAAAATAAAAACATAATTAATATGAATTTTAACCTGCTTTAAAATTCTCCTTCTCCATCTTTTTTTCTTCCCTAAAACAATGATGAGTGAGCTGAGTGGCATATTAACTTTATTCTATATGTACTTGTCAAGATGTTCAAATACACAATTTAAAAAATTTCTAAAACAAATTTAACTTTAGTCAAACAATTCGGAAACCTATAAATTTTTCCATCTTTAAAAAACCCATTACCAACCAATCAGCTACTAAGGAAATAAGCATATACATGACAAGTATTTTTAAAAGGAAGCGTAATGAAATACCAAAGTACAAAAGGATGTTTAATAATAAATACTTTATCCAAAGGACTATTACTTCTATCAAAATATTCAGTAAGTATGTCATCTTATAACTACACACAACTGAAATTCTCAAAGGCTTTTTTCTATTCCCAATAGCTGCTAACTCAGTATCACTAAGAGAAGCTGCACTAAATAAATGTATCTGTCACAGATCTGTGTGCTTTTCCTCTGGGATCTTACTACTCATGGAATAGGTCATTATTTTAGTCAGGAAGCAAATATTCTGCTTCAGGCTTTTTTCCTTTTGTTAATATGTTTACTAACAGTTAAAGAGCAAAAGCATAAGCACTGATTTGTAGTTAACAATCTTCAGCTTCATTTATTCAATTCACATATTTTTATTGTTTTTCAAGAGTTTAAAAGTTAACAATAAAATTTATCACAGTCTAGTATTAAATAGTTTAGCTCCTAATAAAAATAAAAATAACAGATAAGATTCCTAACTCTATATAGGAGACATTGAAATAAGAAATGTGAGGCTGTTTCTCTCACTATCAGCAACTGTGAACATTTACTTGTACTTCCCTAGAGTCATACAATCAGAAAGACACTCACTAGGTTAAACAGCACGTGATTTTGACAGACTCAAGACACAAGTGTGGCGCCATGCTGTAGCTCATGATATAGCTTTGATATAGCAAAGCCACTGTCTGGCAAGCACAAGGTCCTGAGTTTGATTGCCAGTACCAAAAACAACACAAACAAAAGACACACTAGTGCTGTCATACTGTGACCCAAGCTCTAATTTATAAGTGACAAAACTAAGGTAAGACAGTTTATACAACACTAAAGATCCTGGGACAATAAAATATCTAGGGTCAGAGCAGCACCATTCAGGTATTTTATTTCTAATCTCCAATGCGTTCAGCTGCATCACACCAACTGCTAAATGCTCAACTGTGAAACAATGCATTTAGCCAGACTATGACCAGACAATGAGGTGTTCTACACCAGCGAGTTTTCCAGAGTTTGGAGCTTAACTGTTTAAATGACAAAATCAGAAGTATTCAACTTAGGAAAACCTCTGCCTTTTGGTAGAAACCTTCCTAAAGATGCACTGTAGCTTTAGTAGAGCAGGCAGTTCCTCTGGGCCAGCCCTTTTCCCTGAAGACTGTTGCAGTTGCCAGCCCTGCTCCATAGTAACTGTGTGCAACCAAAAGGCAGTGCCCAAAAATGTAGGCTCGTCAGAAGAGATGAAGCAGCACTTGGGGAAATGTACCTCTCAGGCGCTGGAGAAATAAACACAGAAAGGGTTGTCACAGCCTATAGCAAGCATAACCAGCAAGTAAAATGCCTTGTGGAGAGGAATTTTGATAGTTATGTGACATATGAAAGCAGACACTCTATTTCTGCCTGGGTTAAGTGACCATTCTTCTGTTCAAATCTGGTTAAAAACATGGACTAGCCAGATATAGTGGCACACAGCCGTAAGCCCAGCACTCTGAGGGTCTGAGGCAAGAGAATCAAAAGTTTGAACCCAGCCTGGGCAATTAGCAACTTGGTGAAAGTCCCAGGTTCAATCCCCAGTACCCAAAAATAAAACAAACAACCAAAATAAAAATTTTTTAAAATCACAGATATTTACACTCCCCCCTCCCCGCCCCAAAATAGCCTTATACCACCAGGTTCCTTGCATGGTCCAGTGAAATGTCTCTGACACTCTTAATCTCTGTTTAAATACCAGATCACGTGCCTTATGAATACAGCATTTGTTATGTTACTAGTTTTCTTTTGTTAATAGGGAACTCTTCAGTATATTCTGCCATCTTACTGTATTTATTCATTTCCTACTTTATTGCCAGAAGAATGAAAAAAAATAGCAACTTGGTGGAGACCAACCTGAACTGCATAGTGAGACCTTGTCTCAAAAAAGACAAAAGAGAAAGAGAGAAAAGATTCATTATTTACCTCCCAGCCTTCTTATCAGTTATAGTGCAGGCATGCGTCACATAAGCATGTTTGCTTAATGGTGACTCACACAATCAGTGGAGCGGGGCATTCCTAACACCCACTGATGCCGTAAGTCTTAAAGTGTACTATGGTCAGGCTGCGCGTCTGACCTGCTATACCACCAGTCACATAACATATAATTATGCACAGTGCACTTTAAGATGCCCAGGGCGAGCCATTTTCCATGGCTGTAATCTCAGCTACTCTAGAGGCTGAGGCAAAAGGATCTAAAGTTCAAGGCCACTGTGGGCAATTTAGCAAGACTGTCATAAAATAACTTAAAAAAAAAAAAAGTAGAGTGTTTGCCTAGCATGCGTGAGACCAGGAGTCAATGTGCAATTCTGGGGGAAAAAAAGCCCACATTGCTATACTTCTAGAGCTTTTGCTATCATTTCTTGCTGCTATACACATTCCTTATCTCCATTCAACTTACTTAACTTTATTAAAAAATATATGGCAAAAATAAATCACATTCTGAACAAAGTTTTGAGGAACTCTATTATTAGTTACGCTAACCTGAACTCTGATTTATCTACGCAGGCTCTCCTTCGTGTTTGTTTGCTTCTGAGTTCTTGATAGTTTGGGTTTCTGGGTGAGTGCCTAGTGGAAAAGTCCAAAAATTTCTGAGAGACTGTATTTGTTTTTAAGCCTATTCTGTGCACATTCATACAAAAATTCCTTACAATAAAGGATCTGCAATCATCTCAGGAACTTAAAATGTTCCAGAGAAGACATCTGAACTCTACACCAGAGATTCTTTACTGTACACGCCCATGAGCTGGAATCTTATGAAAAATGAACATTCTGATCCCGTAGGTCTGAAGTTGTGCCCGAGAGTTTCTACTTCTAATCAGACGTCGTCTGCTTGCTCCCCATGCTGTACTTTGAATAGCAAGGATCTAGAATACGTATCTTTTCTCTTTCTCCCATTTTTAAATTCTCTCATTCTCTTGCTTTATTCCTTTTCTTGAGTTACCCTTTTTTCTTCCTTTGCATTTGCCAAAACATAGACTACTGAGTCTTTGAAGCTATGGACTCCCATTCATAAGATAAGATATAAAAATCACAAAGCAGCTGTATGTGGTAGTATATGCCTGTAATCCTAGAACTCAGGAGGCTGAGGCAAGAGGGTTACCATGAGTTCAAGGTTGGCCTTGACTACATAGTGAGTTCAAGGCCATCCTGGAATACAAAGCGAGACCCTGTCTCAAAAGATTAAAAAATAAGTAAGAATTAAATAAATATCAAAATGCAGTATAATCATGTACTACAATAGTCATAAGTTTTTTTAAAACATGACTAAAAATAATGTAACCCATATAAAGAACATGATTTTTAGAATGTGCTGTTATTTTGGCAAATTTCTTAAATATTTTTTAAAAAAACCTTATAATTTTAAGTTTCTTACTAGAAAATCAGAACTTATTAGCTGTAGTAAGATTCTATAACATTACAACTGGATACAGTGATACAGGCCTATAGTCCCAGCCTTCTGGGAGGCTGAGACAAGAGGACTGCAGGTTCAAGGCCAGCTTCAGCAACACAGCAAAACCATGTTTAAAAAAAGAAAATTCAATAACATCCCCATGAACTGAATTGTAATTATGAGAGAATGATGGTATCACTAATCCTTACAGCCTGTTAAAATTATGTATTTTAGTCTAAGATTATAAGGAAATCTACTAGCAAGGGATCTAATTCTCAAGGGATCAGCTTTCTGGCGAGTTAATATTAAAACTATATATACTGTATGACCCTGTATAAATTTCATTTACAGTTGTATGTTAATTCCTATCAAATGGCTTATAATTCTCCTAGTAACTACTAGGTTTTGGATGAGTCTTTCAATACTATATAAAGGTTAACATTCATACAGTAACCGAATGTTCTTGTAAAGAGACACTCAGATCTCAGTGCACTTCACTAACAAGCAGCCGTCTCATTTCAGTGGGGAACCTGAGATGTATCCAGAGTATGCAACCAAGTAAGCACACTGCAACAGAATCTAAAACCCCTCCTTTTAGATATCGGAACTAATGCTTTACGTAAACATTACATAAAATAGTTGGTTTCTTAGTGATACTTAGAAATATGGTTTACGTAAAGTTAGTTTCTTGCCAATATAGTTAAAAAAAAAA